TGGCGGACTCAGTTAGCGGCCCTGCCCAGCGATGATGGGCCTACGCTCACCGCTCTCTGCGATTCCGCATCAGCCCATCTCAAATTGGCTTGGACAGCCGCCCACTCTGCTTCTAAGGCTGGTCAGAAAGCTTGGCTTCTTAAGGCCCTCCCGTACGGCGCGAAGAAGGTGCATGCTTGGCTTCGTTATGATTCTGCTGAAGAGATTGAATATCTTGTCACCCCTGATTGTGTGAAACAGCCCCCAGGGGACCTCATGGATCATCGTGCCGAATACTGGGGGGGGGCCTCTGGAAGGCTGATGATGCGAAGCGTGCCTCCATAAGTGAAGCACTTTCTGATATCCGCCCAATGGCCTTGGAGGCCGCTGAGTTGTTGGAGCCCCTCGAGTCTGCAGACGCCGTTCGAGGGGCCACTGTTTTTTTTTCTACTAGCACTGCGGTCGGCGTTGACCACTGCCCCCCCCCGCGTGTTTCTGTGCCTTCCCGAAAGAACCAACTCGGTTTTGGCCAGTGTTTTCAATCGGTGTGAAAGGGCCCGGATGTGGCCTGCTCGGATCCTCCTTGGGGTTGTTGCCCTCCTCCCTAAGTCCGTGGAATCTGGGAATCTGAGAGGCCCATATGCAAATGCCCCACCGCCTATCGGTTGCATTGCCGCATGAGGGGACAGGATATTGGCACGTGGAACGCTGCCCATATTGATTCTTGGGATGATGCCATTCGGGGAAGCAGTGCATCGCGTGCTGCCTTGTTGAGAGAGGTTGGTCATGAGGTTGCCTGGTGTCTTGGGGGGTACTCTGCGGCCCTGCATTGGGACCTCACCAAGTTCTTTGATTCTCTTAACCCTGTCCTCCTCATTCGGTTTGGAATGAAGCTTGGATGCCCCCCTGCATGTGTTGCATCTTGGCATGCTTATACACACTGCCCCACGCACTATTGAGGTGGGCGGTTTCTCATCTGATATCGTCCCTGTCGGTACTGGGATTTGGGCTGGATGCACCCAGTCGATGCCGTGGGTCAAGATGTATTTATTTGATCTCATCTCCCATGCTCATCGGTCCTTCTCTCTGGTCAATCTTAGGTCGTACGTGGATGCCATGTCTCAGACCCAGCATGGAAGTAACATTGCTCTCATCTGTGACACTTTAGTGCCTGCAGCTGCTCAGCTTGTGCAGGGCCTGGAGGCCCTCGACTGCGTTATTTCCACGAAGAGCGATTTTGTTGCCTCCCACGTTGCGCTCCGTGAAGAGCTCAGTCGTCGTTTCAAGGCTGCCGCCATTCCGATAAGTTCTGTGGATGCTGTCAAGGATCTCGGCACGTTTACGACTGCTGGGATCCGCCGTAACACCTCTAAGGTTAAGAGCCGTAGGCGTGTGGCCTACCGCAAGGCGAAGAAGGTCCAGTACCTGTGTAAGCTCGTTGGTAGGGCTTCTAAACTTTACAAGCCTGGCGTTCTTGCCGTCGGTTCTTGGGGCCATCAGGCCCTTGGATTGTCCCCAGGCCAGGTGCAGGCTATGCGGGCCCAGGCTACCCATTGCCCAGGAGCCTGGGCTACGGGTGCGTGCACCACCACTGTCCTCTCATTGGTGTCTGCGCCGAGGGACGATCCCCAATTCAGGCTTCGCCACGAGCAACTAATGTCGTTGGCCCAGATATGGGAATCCCTTTCCCACCGCCAGCGTCATGGAGTCGCTCGGGCTTGGGATAAGATTGTGCACATCTATTCTGTGATGCCTGACGGCCACCGTTGGAGACGGGTCAAAGGCCCCATCGCTGCCACGATTGCGGTGCTCATGGACCTGTCTTGGCGACCTAGTTCCCCCGTCTTTTGGCAGGCATGTGGTGCTCCTGACCGTGAGCTCCGCATCACTGATCCTGTTTTTCCCCATGCTTGTTGGGGGGCTCTGCTTGAATGTTGCCAAAAAATGTATTGGGAGCGCGCTTCTGGCAACTATCTTGGGGATGGGGTCCAGCAAGGCGTCGATTTTACTGTGTTGCAGAGCGTCCGGAAAACTAAGTCACGTAATGGGGAGTCTGATTCTGCTGCCATGATTCGTAATATTGCTTCAGGTGCGTACTGGACTGAATCTCGATTGGTGGATGCTGGGTATGAGTCCAGCACTCGGGGCCTTTGCGGCCGCTGTAGCACTGCAAGGAGACGCCGTTGCACCGCTTCTGGCAGTGCCCTTGCAACTCAGACATCCCTGATCAGATCATCCATCAAACCGATCGTTTTCGTGAGTGTGCGGTGCCTGAGGAACACCTTTCCTGTCTTTGGCTTAGGGGTTTGATGCCCCTCCCCATTTCTGTTGGCCACCTCCCCCCTCCCCTTGACCTCTCCTGGACCTGGGGTCGCTGTCGTACGGTGGATCGGGTCCGTGGGGGGACTTGGGGGATTGAAAGATCGGAAACAGCGTGTTCTACCGCTGCTGGCGGAAAACCGGGGGGGGTCACTACCGGTTCGAACCCCTCCCCCCCCCCCCCCCTCGGAAAACCGGGGGGGGTCACTACCGGTTCGAACCCCTCCCCCCCCCCCAGCTCATCATGAAAAGGGGGGGGGGTCACTACCGGTTCGAACCCCCCCCCCCTCGAAAACCGAGTGGGGGTGCGGACAGTGGTGGGGACGGTGTTGGTGGGGACAGTGGTGAGGGGACAGCGGGACAGTGGTGGGGACAGCGGGGGGACAGTGGGACAGCGGTGGGGACGGTAGTGGTGGGGACAGTGGTGGGGACAATGGTGGAAACAGGGGGGACAGTGGACAGTGGTGGGAACGGTGGTGGTGGGGACGGTGGGAATGAGGTGGAAACACTGGGACAGTGGAGGGTACAATGGTGGTGGAGACACTGGTAAAGGCGTCGGCGAGGACGGCGGTGGGACAATGGGACAGAGGTACAGTGGGGACAGTGGTGGGGACAGTGGGGACAGTGGTGGGAACAGTGGGACAGCTCAGTGGGACAGCGGAGGAGTCAGTGGGACAGTGGGGACAGTGGGGATAGGCAGTGGTTGGGTCCGTGGAGACAGTGGGGAGAGTGGAACCGTGGTGGGAACAGTTGTGGGAACAGTGGGGACAGTGCGACAGTGGTGGGGGCACTGGTGGGGACAATAGGGACGGTGGTGGAACCAGCGGGGCAGTGGTGGTGAGGACAGTGGTGCTGGGAACAACAGTGGGGGATGTGATGCGAGCGGTGGTAGGGACCGGGAGTCGTTTGCTGGCGGTGCGTGGGGGGGGGGGGTCGAACCGGTAGTGACCCCCCTCCGGTTTTCGAGGGGGGGGGGGGGGGGGTTCCAACCGGTAGTGACCCCCCCCGGTTTTCCGGATCCGGAGGGGGGGGGGGGGGGGGAGGGGTTCGAACCGGTAGTGACCCCCCCGGTTTTCGAGGGGGAGGGGGGGGGGGGGGAGGGGGGAGGGGAGGGGGGGGGTTTTGGAGGGAGGGGTGGGGGTGGGGAGGGTTCCAGCAGGGGGGGGGGGGGGGATTTTCGGAGGGGGGGGGGAGACCCCCGGGTTCCGGAGGAAAAGGTTGGCAATTTTCCACAGTAAAGCGGCGGTGGATCACGCTCTCTCAAAGATCGGGAAGTGAACATACTAAGGATTGGAGGCTAAGGAGGTGTGGGTGGTCCATGGTTCGTCGAGGGCCAGATGGTGGCCTGGACTGTATTGCATGTGGTACACTACCGACGGCTAAGCAGAGCTCTGTCCGTGCTGAGTTGTATGCCTTCTACCAGCTCCTGGTCCGCACTACTGGAGATGTGACCATCTATTGTGATTGCCTCCCAGTGTGCCGTGGTTTCCGCCGTCCCTTGTGTGCCAAAGAGAAGTCGGCTATGTTAGACCTATGGACGTTGGTCCATGATGAGCTCTCCCATAGGCCTGGTGTGGTAACCCTCCTTTGGACCAAGGCCCACCCCACCCAGAACCAGATTGATAATCTTGGTTTGCGTCCTGGTGAGTTCTATGTCAATCAGGCGGCTGACTTTTTTGCTGCCAAGGCTGCCCTCTCTCACGCCCTCCCCCCTGAGCAGGTCCAGGCCACTGAGGCCGCCGACCTCCTTGCCCGTCAGGTGATTGGCCGTCTGTTGGCCATCCAACGGGAGGTGCTCTTCACGGCGCCTCCCCGCCAGGCCCCGCGGACGGGCCTGCCTCAGGGGCGGAGGAGGAGGGGTGTCGTGTCGTCGTTGGAGGTTCGTGTCCGTCGTTTGAGAGAGGCTGGCCACGATCCTAAAGTGCGCGCACGAGTACCATGGTGTACTCGTTGTGCGCGCACTTTCTCACTGCGTGGATTGCTAGATGAAGTTTGGCCATGTGCTTGTAAACCCAGAGGTGAGACGGCCCCATTCACTCGGTTGTTTGCCGACCCTGGGGTTCCCACACGTGTTGATCCCCCTCTTGCACTGCGTGGTGCTCTTGCGCACCCGAGGGCTGGAGGTATGCACCCGTCTCACACTCTGGAGGTGTACCGTGGCATTCTGGATTGTTCTCGCTGTGGAGCCGTCTGTGTGGAGCAGGCCCGCAAATTGTTGAAGCCTTGCGAGCGCCCCACACGTATGGGCAAGGATGTGCTCCAGCGAACTTCTCGTGGATTGCCCCCTAAGTCTGGGATGGCCTTCCCTGAATTGTGATGAGTGTGTGCTGATGCGGCCAGGCTTGCACCTGCGTTGCGCAACTGGTATAATAATAATCCTCCTCCAACTTCCGTCGGGGGGGGAGGATGGCGAAGACGTCCCAAGCCAGCACGCCTGCGGCAGTACGGCCCTCGACAAGGACAGCCCGCAGCGGCCACCAGGCGCAAAACCACCACAGCACCACGAGCAAGTACTCTTGCCGGGGCGCCCTTAAGACCTGCCGCAAGTCTAGCCCCTGCGCCGCCCGTGTGACCTACCCGCCCGCGACCCACCCCGCGACCCACCCCGCGACCCGCCCGCGACCCACCCCGCGCCCGGCCCCTGCACTCCTGTCCGCAACTGCGGGGTCCTGCGTGCTGCCTCCGTGGGGCCCCCGCAGGACCTGCCGCAGCTCCAGCTCCTGCTCCGTCAGCTCGTCTGGCGGCAGGGTGGCGAAGAACGCCTCGGCGCGGCTCGCCCTGTCCGCGACCGGCGGCCCGCCGGGGGGCGCCCTCCAGCCGCCGCGGTCCTCGGCGGCGGGCCACTTCTCAGGGGCGACGGGCGCATCCAGGTCAGGAGGGCCTCCCGAGTAGGGTCCGAGGCGTCGCCGATGCATCGGCGACGCAGCGGCGACGCATCGGCGATGCGTCGGCGTGGAGGAGATCGGGCTCCGCATCGCCGGTGCATCGGCGATGCGGGGCGACCCGTCGACCCCCTCTGCTTCGACCCCACGTGGGCGGCCTGAAATTATCGTTGCCCTCGCGAGCTGGATGCCGAGGCGCGATTGTGCGGGTACCCGCAGACGTCCAACGTCTGGGATGAAAACAGGACATGCTTTCTGGCGTTTCCGGCATCCAGAAACAGTTTTCGGGCTCCAGGGCCGTCAAGAGCTACTCGGGTGGAGCAGCCGACCCTGTGAATCGAAGGAGTGGGAACTTCTGGGAGCCCGTCTTGAAAAACACATGCGTACATCTGATGCCTGGACCCATGCCCTCGCGAGCGTGATCTCATAGACACGCGGTTCCACCAATATTTTCGGCGCGGGGCATCTCTGCAAAGACACCCTGTATCCATGGAGTTTCGGCAAAGGAGTCCGGGCCGCGAGGACCGTGAGTATAGATAGTGAGTATGTTTCCCGCTGGAACTTCAGAGTGAGGAGGATGGGATTTAATGTGTTTTGGGGAGCCTCCTGAGGGGCTCCCGTCGTGGCCACGGAGGAACGCAGCTTCAAAAGCTGCTCAGGAGGGTGTCCCAGCGGCGTCCAGGACTGGACTCAAGGATTGAGAAGTCGGTTCCCAGGAAGGGGTCGAGAGCTGGGGTGTCCGCGCATTGGAAAACAAGAAGACACTGGAGGTCTGGGGTGCCTTCCTCCCAGACCTCCAGCGTTGCGTTTCTTCCCAACGTGACCACAGAATTAGAGGTCTCGACCCTTGCTCTGGGACCAGCTTTTCGTACCGAGTCGTTTGTTGACGTTCTGGGGACAGGAATTGAAGGGGCCCCCCGAGGCCGAACATTGCAAAAACCTTCCGTCTTTTTTCACGACGCGAGGGGGTCTGCTTCCCGAACGAACGAACGTCGCGAAGGACGTCTCGACGAAGCCGCGGTTAGGCGATCGAAATGTTATCATGGCCCACGCCCCTGCTGCGAAGCGGGGATTGATCCATATCCACCGCCTGCGAACCGACGTCCTGGTGCCCCAGCGGGCGGTGGACATGGATACATTTCGGCCCCCAGTGGCCGAATATGTCCATATCCACCGCCTGCCGAGGCTCCGAAAACTGACCCTCCAGGCGGTGGTCATGTATAAATTCCCGCCTCGGACCTGCTCGCGCCCCGACCCCCACAGGCCAGAGCGGGGACATGGACAACAAATCCAGGCCTCCGAGGCCACGTGCTTCTACCCACACCCCGCTGCACATGGCGCCCAGAGGGGGGTGGGGGGGGCAGCAGCAGTGTTGAGAAGAACAATTATGAAGGGGCCCAGAGGCACACAAATGAATATACACATCCAAGGATTGCCCATATTTTCTCAGATGTTTTGGATTTTCGTCTGTCCCTCCACTTCCAATGATTTCCCACGTTTCCTGGGGAATCGACGATCACTTGTGTCTGCGTGTTTTTCCCCTCCTGAAGTTATCGCGTTGGGAAGACGGGGTTGGGAGGATGCAGGGTATGAGCAATAGCATCCGGATGCAATGAACGATACCTTGGGCCGCCTACGGGTAATGATATCCTCATTTCTCCCAACCCCATTCGAACGTCGATCGCCGAACGATGGCGGTGCAGAGAGACCAGAGCCCTCGACCACGCGGCATGCTTCGAGCTGGGCCGGTCCACGAGCTGCCCCGTGGGTACCGGAGGCGGGGCAAAGGCGCCAGACGTCGCCGCCAACACTCCAAGGCACCCAGAGTTTGAGGGAGCATCTTGGGACGCCCGAAGACATACGACAGCCTCGGACAAGGTGTTCTCCTACGCCGCCACGCGCGCCCATGCGGATTCACAGCGTATGTCCACACCATGCCGCCCGCTTTTTGTAGCGCATCCGTGCTACATGTGGACCACAATGAGTGTTCACGACGCCGTGCCACTACTTTTGTTTGCACGCGCCCACCACGACAAATGTTCATGACCGTTTTGTGCCGAAGAAAACGTGACACATCCCACAAATTGTTGAGACCGCATGTCGCCCATAACGGATGTGACTCAACCGTGCACCTTCGCTGATTTTGCGCTTTGCCCAGGCCCAGCCAGGCAAGTTGTGAGGCCGTCTCGAGCGAAACTGAGCCAAAACAAAGCCAAACCGAACACACGTTTGAGGACGTCTCACACGAAAACGGACCCAAGCCAAGCCAAAGGATGGCCAAGCCAAGCAAAAGCTAAGGATGTCTCGCGCGAAAGTGAACTAAAACCAAGGGCCAAGCCAGGCAGAAATCGAAGATGTCTGGCAGGACGCGCGGCCCAACCGAGCCGAACCGGGCCAAACCAGGCCAAACCAGAGGCCAAAGCAGGCAGGTCTCGAGGATGTCCCAAGCGGAATCGCCCAAACCAGGCTCCACACTCTCTCTTCAATAAAGCTCAAACGAAAGGAGTGGATCACCCCAGGGCACCCCCCGCAGGCTGAAGCACGATTAAAATTTTTTGGGGCGGCCGTTTGGACCGTGCGCCCGCTGTTGCGGCCGGGGTTGGGCGCGAAAGTCGGTGTCATATGTCTTCAGTGTGTTGGCGGGGCCTGGGAGCGGCGTTAACAGAAATACTTCTGAGCCTGATCAGCCTCGGAATCGTTGTCTACTGACGCCGCCACACATGCCCATGCCGATCCACAGCGTGTTGGGAATACCCACACCCAAACCACCCGCCTTTTTGTAGCGCAGTTGCGTTACTGTGCCACTGCATCCTTTTGTACACACCCATCACGACGCATCATAATTATTTCATACGTGTCAAAGAAAGCGTGACACATCCCACTGTGTATTGAGACCGCATGGCATGCCCCCCATACCGGACGCGACTCAACCGCGCGTACATTCGCTGATTTCTCGCTTCGCCCAAGCCACGTCAGGCAAGTTGCGAGGCAGTCTCAAGCGAAATCGGGCCCAAGTCAGGCCAAACCAAACATGTGATGAGGACATCTCACGCGAAACCAGGCCAAGCGAGCGCCGAACCAAACATATTCTGAGGAGGTCTCACGCGGAACCGAACCTAAACCAGGCCAAACCAGAGGCCAAACCAGGCAGATTCTGAGGATGTCTCGGGCGGGGCGCGCGGCCAAGCCAGGCCAGCCAAACCAGTAGCCACACCAGACAGTTTTTGAAGACGTCCGAAGGAAAATCGCCCCAACCAGGCCCCACCCTCTCTTTAAATCCGCTGGCCCCCTTGTGGGGCCACCAGGCTGTAGGCCGAAGGTTCGTAGTTTCCTGTACCAGTTGCAGCTTCCAGTTTCCACTGTTACAGTTCTGCTTCTTGCTGATTGCTGTTCCTTGTTGATGGACCGCGCGAGGGGGGGGAGGCCCAAACGGGCAGGTTTAGCATGCCCTGAGCGTGTTGTCTGCACTGCTGGGGTGGGTCAAAATTGAAACCCCTCACGCAGATCGGCTGGGTCAGGGTCCAAAAGCACATGAGATTTGCCACATTTCTGAAATTTGCTGTCACCCCTCACGCAGATCGGCGGGGTCAAGGTCCAAAAACATATGGGATTTGCCACATTTCTGAAATTTGCTGGGCACCCCTCACGCAGATCGGCGGGGTCAGGGTCCAAAAACAGATGGGCTTCGCTACATGTCTGACATTCGGTGGCACCCCTCACGCAGATCGGCGGGGTCAGGGTGCAAAAACAAATAGGATTTACTATATTTCTGAAATTCGCTGGGCACCCCTCACGCAGATCGGCGGGGTCAGGGTCCAAAAACAAATGAGATTTGCTACATTTCTGAAATTCGGTGGCACCCCTCACGCAGATCGGCGGGGTCAAGGTCCAAAAACATATGGGATTTGCTATATTTCTTAAATTTGCTGGGCACCCCTCACGCAGATCGGCAGGGTCAGGGTCCAAAAACAGATGGGCTTCGCTACATGTCTGACATTCGGTGGCACCCCTCACGCAGATCGGCGGGGCCAGGGTGCAAAAACATAAAGGATTTGCTATATTTCTGAAATTCGCTGGCACCCCTCACGCAGATCGGCGGGGTCAGGGTCCACAAACACATGGGATTTGCTACATTTCTGAAATTCGGTGGCACCCCTCACGAAGATCGGCAGGGTCAGGGTCAAAAAACACATGGGATTTGCCACATTTCTGAAATTCGATGGCACCCCTCACGCAGATCGGCGGTCAGGACACAAGAGACTTCCAACATTTTCAAATTCGGGGAGAAGATTTGGGCACAGCATACGGGAGCAAATGGAACATACAACAGCGTGTACAACCATAGACTCGCAATCTCCATCCGTCTTGCCAACTACCCATCGTCTTCGCATGAAGTTCCGACGCTGCTTCACGGTGAAGCCAAAACCTCATGACTTCGCTCTTCCATGGCCCATTCTCCGCGAGAGGGGGCCGGCGGCAGGGGGCGAAGCCCCTACGGATAAAGTTCACAGGAGAGGAGAGGATCACCTGCAGGGCGCCCCCCCGCGGGCGGGAGCCCGTTTCAAGGTTCTCGGAAGGCGGGCGCTTGGGCCGCAAACCCGCTGGTGCGGCCAGGGCTGGGCGCGGAAGTCTTCGCTTGTCTTTTGGTGTTGTTGGGGCCTTGGTTTAGGAGGCAACTACTGGGAGGTTTTCGTCGGGGAGATTAAACAGGATGAAACCCCATTTGGGAGCTGTTACGCCGGAGTGGGCCTCGGACTGAGCAGGATCAGGCCGGACTAAGCGGGATTAAGCGGGATTAAGCCGAAGTTAGCGGGATTAAGCTGGATTAAGCCGGATTTTGGACCAGGGCGAAAACAGAATTTGACCTCCCAGGAGTTGCATCCGAGCTTGGTGTTGCGTCAGGAGACATACGTCCGAACTTGTACTACTATGTTGGAGTCGTCTGGGGAGCCCATGGACCCCGG